AGGAATGCGAGCCGTCTCGATGTTTTATGCGTGCTGCAAGTCCCACAGCAATAAATTCAAAACTTAACGCCGCGTGTTGTTCATTCCTTAGTGAGTACGTGTTTTAGAGCCTTAACCTAGAATTCCTCTATCTTTGAATTTTAGCCATCAAAATCAAATTATGTATTTCAGGTAAGACGGTGTTTACACTATAGTGCCGCCTTTGGAATGAAAAGGGTATTTAGATCTGATGATACGGAACAACCAACTTCGCAGGTGCAGTGAAATTATCAACAACCAACCAGCAGGTCTTTCAGTAGACCTGAACCCTGCTTATTTCACTCCCAAGTCAACATAAAACGTTTCGGTATCGTATCACTCATCGCTTTGTACTCATGCAACAGCCACGCTTTTCTGCATCAATAGACTTAGGGATGGAGTCTGTGCCTGTTGAAGTCAGCAAAGAGACCCTCTTGCTCTTTTTAACTCCGCTCACCTTGACCGTGCTTGCTTACAAAAGCATCAGCTCCACCTGGCCAAAGGGAGGGCTCTCCTCGAGCGCAGCGGACAACGTCCTTGAGAAGACGGCGCATCTAATTCCGGCAAAATTGCTAATCAGTGATTTTTATTTTTTTTTTCAACAAAACGTTCTTTGTTCAAGCATCAATTGATCAAAACATTAGCCTCCCACAGGGATACACGGAGCAGTTTGACATGAATAAAATCTCTGACCAAAACCAGATGATAAAATATGAGTCACAGTCTGGAGTAGGGCTGTGTAAGATCCTTGAGACTGAGGCTCAGGACCTTGCCTGGCATCCTATAGATCAACGCTTAAAACTTGTACCCTCGACGCTGGACAAGTAGAATAAAAATTAGCCAGTGTAGATAAAGCACAACATGAAAAACTTCTTGCCTTGAGCCACTCCCAAGGCAAATTTGTGGAAAAAAATAAATTCTCAGAGCTTTCACGAGAGAGGAAAGCTGTTTCCCACTCCGCCCTCAGTATTTCAGTCACCTGGAGAGATGTCTGCAGCAATAATTGCTGGCTAACACCGATGTCTGAGTAGCTGGGAGATTCTTCTGTAATGAGGTTTTTCAAAAAATATAATCCTCTACAGGTTTGACCCTCAGAAAGGTTTTTGGTGCCAGTTATTGGAAGGAGGGAAAACAAAGTGCCTGGGAAAAAGCAAAGGTCGAAAATACCCACCAATGGACCAAGAGGTAAGGGCTTTCCAGAGCTTCAAGGTAACGTGGTTTTAATATCGACCCTGTGTTTGACTCCTAAAATAGACACACTGATCTCTTCCTTTTTTATTTTCACTGTCTTGATATTTTTAAAAATCAGAAAATTTTTATGACCTTTCAATGACAGGAGCTTAATTGCCTTTTCTTAAGAGCCCCTCTCTGGGACCAGCGCAGAGCTCCCAGGCGGGAGTCCCTGCCGAAACCTGCTGTCGGGTGGGTTTCCTTCTTTGACTGTTGTTTATTTTTGTTTGTTTGTTTGTTTTTTTCCACCCTTCTCAGTCTCGAGCGTTTCTGTCGAGCTACTACAGAGACCACAACGTGGAGTTGTCCAAGCTGCTGCACAGGCTGGGGCAGCCCCTGCCCTCCTGGCTGAGACAGGAGCTGCAGAAGGTCAGGTAGCACGTGAGGGTGGGGACCCCAACGAGGACGATTTCCTTCACCGTCAAACCCCTCGCTTCTCCGACTCACTTGTGATCGTCAGTAGAGGACCTCATGAATAACGTTCTTTCTATTAAAAAAAAAAAACAAACAAAAACAAAACCACAACAAAAAACAAACCCACAAAAGAAGAAAAAACCAACCGAACCCGACAACTGTTTATATGCACGCGCTGGCAGTTATTAGCATCGAGCCCTTTCGTCGGCTTCCAGGAAACAGTACGGAGCTCCGTGGCATTACTCTTTATCCAGACCGGGATTCGTGCAGAGCCTCGTTCCTCCGTTCACCGGGAAGTACCAGAAACTGTGTGTAGGATGGATTGACTTCAGTGTACACGAGAAATTGCAGTCTGTCAGGACACCAGCAAAGGCTGGAACATCTCTCGCTGGACTGTGAGGTTGGTTATCTGCTGGGGTGCTTTCCACGTTTGTTTTCATTTGGTTGTTTTTTTTTTTTCCCCCAACCCTGCAAGTTTTCCTATCACTTTACAGGGGGATATTCAGCACTTTGCAGCCGGGATCCCTAATGGTTATGATAAATGTTGTATTAATGCACCATCGTTGCTCTCTCCACAGAAAGAGGTAGGCTAAATTCTCACCTAACCCTCTTCCCTGCCATTCCTCCAATAACTGATGATAGCCCGTGCTCTTTTTTCTCTTGTGGGTTCTTTTTTTCTTTTTTCCCTTCACCACAAGGTATATCCTGATTTACTGGAGCTGTGTGGGATGTGGAGGTGCAAGGCAGTGAGCTGGCCCCCCTCCTAGTTCTCAGTGAAACCCATGGCCCGTCTTTTGGACGTGGCGACTTTGCCACCCGGATGAGGTTTTTCATCTCATCGCTGTTGGGTTCCTACCGCAGCCGTGGCAGAGCTCCGAGATGTGAAATCATATCCAATACTTTGTCATAATGCCATAGGACTCCTTAAACCACTATCAAAGCCTTTTAAAATCTAAGCAGGCCGTGCGAGCAGCGTACTGACAATAACCTAACACCCACCATTTTGTTTCTATCTGGAAAGCAATGGTTTTGCTCTGAAGCCTTCCAAGGAAGAGAATGGCTTCAGTCATTTAGAGTCTCAGCCTGCAAGCTATTACAGAAAATAAACTTTAATGACCAAAGGTATTTGTTAAGGTTTCGAAAAAAACCCCAACAGTCTGTTGATGAATACATTCTTTCTATAGACTTTAAAGCAGTTCGAGGACAAGCATATTCACTATATACCACATATATATATATGATGAATATATTTTTATGCCTGCATATCTACCTACTGTATATCCAGATCAGACATACGCTTAGCTTTACATACCTGGGGTTTGTGCCCATAGGTAAATGAAAGGGTGGTTTACGAAAAAAAATGATACCACGAACTGCGTGAGTAGGTTTTAGTTTTCGAACTTCCCCGCCTTGGTTCCTCGGCACAAGCCATTTCAGATGCTGCAGAGGCTTTGTGCCTTCCCCTCCCCATGGATTTGATCCTTACCTCCCAGCTCAGGAGACAGAGCTGGGCGCTGGGGCTGCACCGGGAGTTCAGCCCAGCCTCAGGGAGCACAAGTCAGTGCACATCATGGACTGCGGCATTCAAGAGTGCTTAAAACAAATTCATCTAGGCTTCAAACCAGTGGATGGGTGTAGATATCTAATATTGCATTTCCAAACTCCAAAATCATGAGCCTGTCCACCAAGGTGATGACACTGGCTTGTTTTGGAGTGACATGTCCAGTGCTTCCCAGAGCTATCCTGGTGCCATCCGTCCTGTGCGCTTGCTGGTGAGCGTCCTCTGGCACCACCTGCCTACCACAGCGTTTCCTCTCACCTGACCTCCATCACTCGCCTCCCCACTGCCCATCTGAACGTGCCTGGCTGCTTCTTCCCTCCACACCATCCCAGCCCTTTTCCAGACCTGGTCCAGGTCCCTCATCCATGCAAGGAGCCGGTGCTGCCCCGCTTGGTCCCACACACACAGCCCGCAGGGTTGCACAGAGGAGAGGCTGAGGTGCAACCAGCACCAAGTCCCTGCATGGCCCCTCATGCTCCAGCTCTCCTGCTCTCAGCCCTGGCTCCTTCTGCCGGAGGACCCTCAGCAGTTATGGGCATAGGAGGAGGACAGGTACCCCCTGCCCACCAGTGCTGCACTAACCTACAAGGATGCACGTGAGCATGCGGTAAAGCCCGAAAGACAAGTGCTGCCTGGTCTCGCGTTTGCTTTTAAATATTGAAACGGGATTCATCTCACCTAAGTGAGACATCTACTTTATTTTATAGGTGATGAAGGGAAATAGCGCTTCTAGGACACCATTCATCTCATCACAAAGCAGACTTCTTAAATGACTGAGATTAATCTTGCCTCTTCCTCTCTATCGATTGTAGAAGTACAATAGACAACTCGCTCAGAGTAAGAGCTCAGCTGTACAGGTCTAAAATTAGGTGAGCTGGAAAGGAGATGGCGTTTTATCTCACAGCTATAGCGGAAGATGAGAGGGAGCCAGCAGGGTCTGAGGGAAGGTTTTGATTTTGTTTTGTTTTCCTAGTTCTTATATTTCGACAAGGAAGACTTCAAAATCATAGAACCATAGAATCATCGAATTGTTTAGGTTGGAAAAGCCCTTTAAGCTCCCCAAGCCCAACCATTCCCCTAACCCTGCCATCCCACCACTAAACCCTCTCCCTAAGCACCTCGTCTGCCCGGCTTTTAGATACCCCCAGGGATGGGGAATGAGCCAGGGCAAAACGAACGCCAAATAAAAGGAACCTTAGGGGGGAGGTGGGGGCTTTTTTTTTTTTTTTGGCAAGTCAGACACATACCTTGCTGCAAATTCACACTCTGGCATTATCAGTGCTAAAAGTTAAGCGATGACTCGCCTGATGAGAGCTTTGGGTAAGTAAGGCTCGGTCAGAGAAGAGTATCTAAATCAAACATTTGATAAAGTTTTAGCTAATAAAAAGCATTAGAATAGGCTTATCGTTAATTAAAACATGACTTCTTAACTTCTCGATGAGGAGCTAAATAAACATGAAATTGGTTTCAGGAGGAAATGAGGCAAACACCATCAAAATCTGGAAGAGGATTTCTTCTTCTTTTCATTTAGAAAAAAAAGAAAGAATTCAGTCTTTCTGACTCTCAGCTCTGTAACAGCATCATGTCCTTAAACCACACTGGATATTGTTATACCTCATTGTTATTTTTTAAGTCTGAATGGGCATCACATTTCCGAGAGATCTCATGTTCCATTCAAACCTGACATTTGAATTGACTTCATTATGTGTGGCGTACAGATGAAATAACAGTATTTCAAAGTTTCATTCCTCCCACTTGCAACAGGACCCATCAACACAGAGTTTCTCTGGACCACCCTATTATAGCAGAGCCTTTGTGAACCAGCTGTAAATGGTCCCGATTTCTTTTCTGCCTTTTGTATCACTGACCGCGTAATCGTTGGGATTCTCAAAGACCGGCAAAACAAATGCAATAAAAAAGAATTTTAAAAAAATCAAACATGTATTCCTGGCAAGGGGGTTGTAGTTGGGAAGGATAATGCTGGCCCTTCTTCCCTATTCATAAGCCGCAGGATTCATCTCCGCAATACCTCCACGTGGTGCAGGCTGTAAATCAATAGGAGTTCTACATACTGGAGGGCTGCAGCTGCAGTTGGCTCCCATTCCCCTGGAAATACGGATTCCTGCAGAGGTTTGAAGGAGCCTTGCCGCCCTGAAGACCTGACCTGCTGCCCGCGGAGACCAGCGAGAGTCTTCCTATTTAATTCCAGCAGACCCCGGTCGGCCCCGAAGAGCCGGTTTCATAAGGCACAACCTCATGTGGTTCAAGCGTCACGTAGCCCTGTCGCCGCTGCAAATCCATCGCTGGCTTGATTTCTATCACCAAGCGGCGATTTCTCCCCCCCAGCTCTCTCGGTCGGTGCTCTGCCACGGTTGGAGCCGCAAGCCACCTCCACCACCCCCTCCAGCGGGGCCGCGCCGCTCCTGGTCTCGCCGTACCACGCGGGTCCCTCCCCGCTCCATCCTCCCGCCTCACGGGCTACAAGAAACAGAAAACCCTGCGAGCCAGGCACGGGCATCGGGGTCTACGGCAGCCTGTTTGGTGATTAAAGCAGGACTTTGGCCCTCAGAAAGCTGAGCTTTCATAATCGAGGTCGTCTTGGAGTGAGAAGCAATCAGAACGGAATCCAAAACCTTCTAAATTATGCATTGACCTCTCAAGGTCTAAAATAAAGTTGCCGGATTAGCTGCTTATAGATGTTTTCTAATAAAACAAATCTCCCTCTCTGATAGGGAATCAGACTGCTGAGTGTCCCCAGAACAAATTAAGATGGCGGAATTAGAAATTCTTGGGGGAGGAACGTGTTGCGTAATGAAAGCGCTGATGGGTCCGGGCTCTCTGATGTGATAATAAGGCGGTGGGGATGTGCCTCGAATACAAAAGCAGAAGCTGGATATTGTCTCCTCTTCCTTCCCCCTCCTCCTTTCCCTTCCCATTCGCGTTAAATTTGGAGCCAACGTAGCGCGTCTGAAAAGCACGTGACGGGCAGAGCCCGTGGGACGGGGGAACATCATTCACCTCCCGAACGACCGTCCGAGAATAAATGGGGTGCAGGGTGCTCATTTCCCCTAAGCTGGGCCGCCTTAAAGTTAGACATCAAGCCCAGACCAGTCATTTAGTTTCCATCAGTAGCAAATTCTGTTTATAATGGGTTTAAAATTGATGTTTGTAATAGGTGCGTGAGCGTGCGACAGCTGCGTCGGACAGGCACGGCACAGGTACATAAATCAGCGGAGGCTGAAGCTCTGATTTTACCGTAGCTGAGTAAGATTAAGCTGGCTGCCGGTGGCGGGAGGAGCTCTCTCTGCACGGGCGGTTTAGCTTTGCTGGTTGAGCTCTCGGACGGCAGCGCCCGCGCTCTCCTACCAGCAGCTCCTCAATTTCTCAGAGAGCTGAAGTCTCACGCCATCGCCTCGCTGTATTTGCCCTCACGGGTACCAGATGGTGAAACTCGGCTCTAAGAGCGAGTACCGTGTCCAGTTCTGGGCTCCCCAGTTCAAGAAAGATGAGGAGGAGGAACTCCTAGAGAGTCCAGAGGAGGGCAACAAGGATGATGGGGGGACTGGAGCATCTCCCCTAGGAGGAAAGGCTGAGGGAGCTGGGCTCGTTCAGCCTGGAGAAGAGAAAGCTGAGAGGGGATCTCACCAACACATACAAATATCTCAAGGGTGGGGGTCACGAGGATGGAGCCAGACTCTTCTCAGTGGTGCTCAGCGCCAGACCCTTGCCAGTCTGGGACTCTGGGATTCCGTCCCTCGCTACGTCGGTTCATATATCCCCGCCTAAATCTGCCGGGACTCGTTGCTTCGGAGACTTTTTTTTTTTTTTTTTTTAATTTAAGCGTATGTATTTGGGATAGGAATTTCCCTATCAGACAACACTCCTTACACTGTCTTTATTTTCTCTTCTCTCCTTCCAGTTCATCCTTTTAGCGTGACTGCAAAGGTGCGGGCCTGCCTGTGGATGCGATTCCTCCATCACTGTCCTATCGAGCAAAGCTACCAAAAGCAAATAAGGATTTGCAAGCGACACAGATTCTGAAGTGTTCAGCGCTCCAGTGACCGGATAACTTTGATAAGGCTTCTTATCATTTCCGTCATGTCTCAAAACGAAAGGCATCCTCTTGATGGAGCTGGGGAGAAACTTCACTGTCTTGCCCAAGCTCGCTCTTTTTTTTCTTTTTTTCTTTTCTTTTTCTTTCCCCTCCTATGTGGCAACAGCAAATCCAGTCGAAC